CTAAAAGTGACATAAAACACCCCAAACCCAAATCTAAGCATGCATTAGCCAAGTAGAAAGCTTTATACCTCCAATGGGTCAGAAATGATGCCAAACTTCTGGATCTACAAGCCCTTTCCAAGCTCTTGCTCCTTCTTCAAACTCCTTCTTCTTCAAAACTACTAAAGTTACACCAAAAACTCAAAGTAAGCTCCAAAATACAAACAAGAGGATTAGGGTTCGAGTTGGGCACTGAGAGGGCAAGGAAGGCTGAGAGGATAAGGGCTTTGAAGATTATAAGTTGTTTAAATAGGGTGCAAAGCCTAAAATTTAGGGTTTGCATCTGGCCACCCTACGCCTAACGTACGCTTGGGTATGCCCAGCGTACGCATGGGAGTCCCCCGATCCACGCCTCATATGCGTACGCCCTGTAAACCCAACATACGCTTTGCTCCAAAAATCCCAATACTTAATAATTAAACTTGAATAAAAGCAATACAATACCTGATAAATCCCGAGCGTTACACCTTCTTAACTCATTAAGCCATTGTCCTTCAGATCTGAACCCTAAACTTTACATCTCGACTGAAAATGCCTCTAGAAGGGTAAAGTTTCCAACTTTACCCCTTGATACCTTTCCTAAATGGATTAAGCTCAAACCCTAACCTAAAAAGGTCAAGATCTTAATCCAAACACCATCAAAACTAAGAGATAGACCCTGAGATCATAGTTCTGGACTCTAGGGACTAAATAATCACGTAAAGACTTAAACTTTATCCACATGCATGGCCATAAGAGCTTCAAAAGACCAAAATGATGGTCTAGAGGTTGCATGTGACTTCCATGGCCATAAAATTGGAACCTTTATGCCATGAAAACCTCTCAAGACCCTAGATCTGAAGCATTCTCTGTTTAGGACGTCCATATCCCAAGAACCAAGTCATTTGGACCAAAAATAAGCAAAATATCCCTAATAGAAGATCTAATCAACTACAAAGCAAGGTTCAAGCTTTTTACCAACAAAATGTCATGGATGAAACAAGGGTTGTGGATCTATAAACTCCTTCTTGTGTCCTCAAGCTTCTCCTTCTTCCAATAGCTTCAAAACACACACTAAATCACTTGAAATAACTCACAAACACTCACCATAGCATTAGGGTTTCGAGATTTAGAGTTTGAGACTTGAAGGCTGGAAATGAGGCCAACATGAAAGGTTTAAGAAGTTTAAATAGGGTGCAAACCCCGAAAATTAGGGTTTCTCTTCTGCCAGCCTACTCGTCGAGTTCAGGCCACTCGACTCGTCGAGTAGGTTACTTAAATCACGCGGCCCATCTGATCTCTACTCGACGAGTTTAAGGCTTCCAACTCGTCGAGTTGCCCTTATAAATTAAATAATTATTAAATTAAATACGTACCAGGAACCAGGCGTTACACCAAAAGAACATAAAATCAAGCCTAAAACAAGATCCAAGTATAACTTCACCAAGTTCAGAACTTTATACATCCAAGTGATGCCAAATGGTGGTGTGATTCTGGATCTAAAGTGCTTTACTCCTCCAAGATGGTCTGTACTTCCTTCTTTCTTCTTCAAAGGCACAAAACACACACACTCAAGCTTAGAAATGCTTCACATGGTGGATTAGGGTTGCAAGGACGTTTTGAGAGGATGGAGGCTGATGAAAAGAACCAAGGTTGAGAGATAAAGATGAATAAATATGGTCCAACCCCTAAATATTATGGTTTGGGACTTCACTCTGTACGCCCTGCGTACACAAAACGTATGCCTAACATATGTGGCTCCGCCCCATAAATCCAAAAGTGGTAATATTGGCCCCTTCCAGCCACAATTCTTTCATTATAAGGACGAAAATGTAATAAATATCAATATAAGGGTCAAAAGTGAAAGTTCCTCAAAACAAGATGTTCCACAATGATTCATTAGAATGTTTTTTTTAATGAGAATCAAAGCCATTAAGATCTTTTTGGCTAATAAGAGTTTTAGATGTCATCTTATAAAGCTCTCATGACCTCTAAAGGTCTTAATGATAAATTCATGATTAGGATATGACTTAATTATGTTCATATAATGTTAACAACATTTATTTAGTCTATTAAAATATTTTGGCAAAGTTTGGTGAACATTAGAAGTCATTAGTGCAAAGTACATGTCTTAAATGAGAAAAATTGCACTTTTTGGTGACCTGCACTCTCGATATGTGGTATGTTCAATTACAAAACAATTTCATATGGGGCATGTCCAACCTCACGTGTACTTGAGGCTAGATACCTTAAGTATGGGACCGATGATTACACCTATACCCAAAAAGAGACCAAAGAGAAACGATAGGATTCGTTTTGTAGTGGGTTTTGTATTAGCCACTTCATAGTCTTCGTTGCTATCGAGAAAATAAAACATGTGAGTGAGACAAAGAGATGAACGTGAATAGATGTAGTTGCATATTGCATTGCAATTACCTTTTATGTTACATTTAAATGTTTATATATTTTAAATGTTTTAAAGAGAAAAGATATTAACAAATATGTTAAAGATTTTGAAGTGTTTTTAGAAAAAAAAAGAGTAAAAGAGTTTTATCAAAAGAGTTAAAGATGATTTAGTGACTTTAAAAAGATTTTTGGGAATTCTCATACGTCAAGGATTGAGTTAATCCTTGACTATAAACGTAATGAAGTCCCAATATTACTCATTAGACATTCCTAATGCCAAGCCTATTACTTTTGACATATATTCTAGAGCAAGTAGTGATTCGGGCTTAAAAGATTTAATATATTTTGAAGGCCACTATGATGTAGTGGTAGCTTGTGTAATGATATTTTAATTGTTAACCCTCTTCTTAAACCTCTTTGAAAAACTAAAACTATTTTGTTAGGACTTCAAAGACTTTTAGGACCGTTTTCCACAATTGATGTTTATTTACTTTTAAAAAGTGATGTAAATGATTTTTTTAAAAAAAAAACCAAAAGAAGGGTATTTCAGATCTCATATTAAGTTTCATGATGTAATCTACGCAATTAGGGTCCAAATATTAATCAATGTTATCCAACACTATTGATCTAAAATCCATATTCTAATTATCACCCGATCAAGTTTTTTTTTTGGGGAAAGGGAACTTCCCTAACGAGGGTTTCCGGGTCAGCTTTCGCGCACCGACTAATCTCCCGCTGTAAACATTAGGCTTTGTCTCATGCCCTGAAGTCTCTGCAGACAAACCTCTATGGCCACAAGGGCTTAGTGGTGCCATGATTTGAACATGAGTCAATAAGTTATCCACCATATATATCTTCCATATGTCTTACCAAGTTACCACAACCTAAATGGTTCATTTATTAATTCTTCGCATATATTAGTTCTTTTTATGTTTATAGTGACATTTGATGTTAAATAAGGGCAAATGACATAAAAATTTCCATGTTTTCATTTATTTTCGATTTTAACACCGTATTATTTTTTGATCTAAATCGAAAGTCATATTTTTAATTTTGCTCAATTTTAATCATTCCCCGAGTTGCTATGATGAGTTGAAAAATACGATGACAAAATAAAAAAAATTGAAAGAACATTAGCTTTAGAACAAAAATTGAAAAATACAACATCAAAATCGAAAAAATCTAAAAATATTGTGTTTTTTTTGTATAACTGAATGTAAATGAAAAGGTAACATTGAAGGAAATTTTAAAATTTTAAAACAAAAAATAATACAGTGTTAAAATTAAAAAAAAAAAAAAAAAAAAAAACATAATTTTTTTTACAATATGCCCTTAAATAAACACCATTTTAACTAGCTCGACCTTTTTAAATAAAATTGATCTAACGACCAATATAATATTGCGGTTATTTGTTTAAATCCAAAACCGTGATATAGCACTTTGATTCTCTAAAAAATACTATAGTACAAGTCCCTCAAACTTCATATTGCAAAACTAATCTCAATACAACAAAATTTATCATGATTCCCTAACAGGACCTTAAACCTGCAGTTAACAAAAGAAATACATTTGAGAATCTTTACCTTTTTAAAAATTAAAACTCGGTTGTTAATGTGTTATGCTCTTTAACAACATTCCCTCAAATACGAAAACAATCTCTTTTCGTTATTTGTATTTATATTTTATGTTCCATTTCCTCGTGTAGCATCTTTATTCTTTTGGGTATTTGTAGTCTTGATTTTGAACAATGACCCCTTGTATGTTTTTTCTCGTAATTCATCATTAAAAGCTAAAATAATTGTTTTTTCTTAATAATGTTAGAAAAATGACAAATATCGGTGTCAAAATTTTCAATACCACGTATACATATTACTAAGTGGTCATCCAAAATAACATGATCATAATTTGCACTTAGTTTATTTAAATGATTTTATAATTAATCAAAGAAACACAAAAGCATAAGTATAGTTTAGCACTTGGTTTAACTTAACATATACTTTTGTACACTCTTTTAATTGTATTTTTATATTAGATTTTTAAGAGATTCTATCTTTTAGTTTTTAATAATTTTTAACAAAAGTCTCGATTTAAGTAAAAACTTTAATTTGAAAGTATAAGTTTGTTTGCTTTTAGTTTAAATAAAAAACTTTATATCTAAAACTATTTTATTTGTATTTATATAAAAGCTATTGAGTTTTTTTAATCAATTTCTAAAACTACCTTAAAAATATATTTATTTTTTATTTATTTTAAATAGTTATTTGTTATATGTGTTTATACATTTCAAAATCTTTTACTGTTTTTATCAAAACACTTCTATAATAAATAAAAGTTATATTTTTAACTATCAGTTAGAAGTTATATTTTTAACTATCAATTAGATTTGTGAAATACACCTAAATAACTACTTATTGAGATAAAGTCGTAAAATATTGTTTAAAAATATCTTATAATAATTATTGAAAAGTTTATTAATAAATACACATACAATCATACATACTCGTATACTTTAATGTATATATACGGTCACAGGAAGAAAAAAGAGAGAGGGAGCGGTGGAGTAGATGTGCGTGTGGGACCCACGCATGAGGTAATAAAAGACAGGAGTTGGAGAAAAATGGTGGGTCATTAGTAATAAAAGCCAGCTATCAATGAAGGAAGAGCTTCACCTACCATTAACACTCACACACACTTCCCTCCCTTTTTAGGGTTTCTCTCTCCCCTTTCAAATTCTTCATTCATCCTTCTCATTGATTGAGATTGAATTGGAGTATTGTTATGTAGGTTTTTGAATTTCGAAATATAAAGCATTTTGTCGTTTCCTTTGGGAATTTTACCTTCGTCTTCGAAATTTTCGCCCCTCGGGAATTTTTGGGAGTTCCTGCTTCAGCTACTTTGTTATCCTGCAGCTTTTAGGAGGGAATTAGGGTTTTCAGCTTCAGGTTTGCCTACGTTTTTCTCTCGCTTTGTAAACAAATAATGCTGCATGACTAGTTTAATGATTGTTTTAGAGGTTTTCGACATCTTCGTTTCGCATTTGCTTCAAATTTGGTAGCGAGGTGGAAGATATGAGGTGTATTTTCATGTTTTGTTGGATTTCTGAAACAAATATTGAACCGGTTGAATTATAAGCTCTGTTCATTTTTGCTATCTTCTCCATATTCAGCTAATTTGCAAATTTGAAATCAGTTTTACGAATTTCAATATCGATTTTCCGTTTTTCTTATGCGCATTTGCTTGGTTCCCGTCAAGTCGATAGCATTTCTCTTCCTAAATTGTACTTTCAACATCTTATTTTCGTTTTGGTCCAGTTTTCTGAACTTAAATTTCACTTTTGCAGGTAGTTCTGTTCTAAACTTCAAAGCTTAGCGGTGCTTCTCTGCCATTAATATCCAAGGTCTGCTTCTTCTGCAATTACTCTGCTTTCCTATAATTAATAAGGGGAATACTGGTTTGATGTACTATACAATGGTGCTAAATTTAGTATAATTCTGAAAAGGACAGCCATCCATCGTTGGAGTTTTCCTGATTATGGAGAAAACATAAGCACCTACAGCTGGATTCGGGGAAAATTCTCACGAGATTTTGTTTTATTCTTATCCCCAAAAAAACTAAATGCTAACGTGCTACACTGAAAGCCTATGTGAAATGTCTCACATCACCATTGTCAATATGTCATCCATCGGTGCTCCCCTGCAGATTCACATTACATAGAAATTACTCTTATTAAATCTACTTTTTTTTTCTTGCTATATTACTTAACAATATCTTTTGTGCATTTTCATTCAGCTAGTAGAAAAGAAAATGTCAGGCGAGAATTTCATGGACGAGATGGAAGAGATTGATTGTGGGAGCTTCTTTGATCACATTGACGACTTAATCGAATTCCCTCCCGTCAACGACACCTCTCTCAATTCCCTTGACTGTAACGAGTTTCCCAACATTTGGACCAACAACTCCGACGACTTGCAGGTCTCCGACCCCATCTTCTGCGGCAGCAATAGTGATAGCGCCTCCGCACTGTCGGCAGAGCTTGCTGTTCCGGTGAGTAAATAACCAACCAACCACCATCACTTCACATTCTTCCCTTCTTCTATCATTCTAAAAATATGGTCACCGGTCACCCACCGGAATCTGACGTCACCACTGTCGGTTCTGGACTTCTGGTGACCGGCTAAGCACACGGTTTATTAAAAATGGTGTGTTTAATGATGATTGTGCACAAGCACAAGCACACCTGCACATGCTTAGTGCTTAATTCTTTTGTTTGTTGAGATCGAAGTTACTTTTAGGGGTAAAGTTTCATACTTTCATCAATAACAGCTGATGATGAAGATTGATTGTTTTTAACTTTTTTTTTTTTTTTTTTTTTACATTATTGAATAGATTTTACGTTGGCATGTGGAATTTTAAATTTGAGATAGAGGGAGCCTATAAAATAAAAGCAACTTTCTTGACTTTTGATCTTCTTTCTGAAGCTAAAAGCTATAATCTTTTTTATATTTAAAACAAAATGCGAGTTTTAATTTTGAGTTAGAGGAAGTCCAATGAACGAAAACTGTTTAAAAAGTGGATTGTTATGTTTTACTTTTGTGGGCCCATCAATAATTGTAATTATAGATTATTTAAAAAGCAAGGGTTATATTTCAATTTTCAAATTTGGTCAGATTACACGTAAAAGGAGTAAAGTATACTTAATTTGGGATGAAGGAATGAAACAGTGTTCTTGAAGAAAAGTTAATTAATTGTTTTGACTAAAATTATTATGGTGCTCCATTATTATCATTATGTCATTGAATTTGAACTTACATCTTTATTTATTATTTTATTTTATTTTATTCACAGTATGAGGATATTGTCCAGCTGGAATGGCTTTCAAATTTTGTGGAAGATTCCTTTTCTGGTGGTGGATTGACTATTCCGGTGGCGGCACACCACCAATTCCAGACCACCAGTCCTGTCTCAGTCCTTGAGAGCAGCAGCAGCAGCAGCTCCAGCTCCTCCACCTCTGGTGGCGGCAAGATGATTCCGTTCAGCCCGATTCAACGTGGGCCTCAACGGGCCCGAACCAAACGTCCCCGGCCCACAACTTTTAACCCTCGTGCCATGATTGAACTCCTCTCTCCTCTTCTCCTTCTTGCCCCTGTTTCTTCTGAATCTGAAAACAATTTTGTGTCTGATCAGAAGAAGAAAAAGAAGGTGAAAAAGTCCAAGATCCAAGCGGGCCCACCAACTGAAAACCAAAACCAAAACCAAATTCAGTTGGGACAGGGAGTGAGAAAGTGTTTGCATTGTGAAATTACAAAAACACCCCAGTGGCGGGCGGGCCCAATGGGACCGAAGACCCTGTGTAATGCCTGCGGTGTTCGGTACAAGTCAGGGCGGCTGTTCCCGGAGTACCGCCCGGCAGCTAGTCCGACTTTTGTTCCGACACTGCACTCCAACTCCCACAAGAAGGTGGTGGAGATGAGAGTCAAAGGTGGGCCGAATGATGTGAGGGAGTCAGAACCACAATCAGTGTCAGAACCAGAACCAGAACCAGTACCAGTACCAGAGCCAAAGCTAAATGGATATATGATGCCTCAGGCAGATTAGATTTAAATTTAAAGAAGGGGTTTGGAGGTTATATCTGTTATTGAGTTTTTTAGTATGATTTGTTTTGTTGATTGTACAGGTGTTGAAGGGCTATATTTAGGTGGTAGAGAAAGTAGAGGGGGTTTGAGTATAAGATTAAAGAGTAGGGGTTTAGGGAGAGGGAGAGGGAGTCATATTTTAATTTGTTTGTTATATTGGTGTTTTTGCAGTTGATAATAGTCCTGAGATGAGATGAGATTAGGTTCAAGGATTTTGTGATGTTTTCTTCCAATTATTTCTATCTTTTTGAAGCAAAATTTTGTCTTTTTTTTTTGCTTTGTTATGTTTGTTTGTACTTTCTTTTTCTTGGTAAAAGTTGATTAAAACATTCCAAATTTTTTATGTGAAATGATAACTTTAACGGATACCAAGAAAATGTTGCTAAGAATCTTAGGTTGCATTTAGTTACGGAAAATTAGAAAAAATGTTGAAATAAAACAGTTTTCATTTTCTGTTTTTCGTTTTCCCTTTTAATATTTCGTTTTCCGTTTCCGGTTTTCATTGGAAAAATTTAAAAAACATATTTAGTTAAAACTTATTCATTTTTTATTTTTAGTTTTAGAAAATTAGAAAACGTGTTTAGATGTGTACTTTTCTATTGGTTTTCATTTTTAGAAAACAGTTGCGATGGTAGGGTGGGGGTGGGGCCTCTACATAAATATGTCACCCATGGGCCATGCCCCTTTAGAAGGGAAAATATTACTTGGTCTATATCATCATTAAAATGCTATAGTTTATATTAAGTATTAACGATACAATTATACATCTTTATTTTTTATATTTTTCAAATGTTTTTACATACTTAACCCTATTTTGTTAAATCAAACATATTACAAATGTTTGGATTTTTATATATATACTTTTGAGGGACATATGTTTAACGAACAATAATATGGACTTTTCATTTCAGTTTGGGCCTTAAAAGGAAAATCATTATTTTTAAATATATAGGGGTTGCCAATGACATTCTTAATAATGGGCAAGCCCAATCTACTTTCTTCAAAACTTTTCACAATGTAAAACGACTCGGCCACTTTACTACTAAAAAAATAACGATACGTAGTTTTAATGTAGTCAAACAATTTAACCGAATAAAATCCTACAAAATAATCAAAACGCTTTAACCGGAAAATTAAATTATTTAAAACTAAGGTAAATTACCAGAAAATCAAATTATTTAAAAGTAATGTAAATTACACAAATGTTATTATAATTTCATAAAAATTCGATTTTGACAATGCGTTATTTTTGTTACAATTTAATCACTAAGCTTTTTAATTTTTGCAATTATGATAACTTGATCCATCAACATAGTTACCCGATGATGTGGCATGTTGACGTCTCATTTTTTGGTTATGTGACATGCTGACATGACACTATTTGATTATGTGACACTGACATGTCAAAGTTGAAAAAAAAATGACACAAAAGACATTAAGTCTTCTATTTTTTTCAATTATAACACTAAGCTTTCTAATTTCGTTCAATGTTAACCATTTTCCATTTAAAACTATATATATATATATATATATATATATATATATATATATATATATATATATTATATATATATATATAGAGAGAGAGAGAGAGAGAGAGAGTCAAGATCAAATAAGAAGGAAATTTTTGGTAGGAAGGTAAGAAGTTTTTTTTCTACATTTTTTTCGCGAACAAACAAAATGAATATATATATATATATATATATATTATATATATATATATATATATATATAGAGAGAGAGAGAGCGAGAGAGAGAGAAGCGCGAGAGAGAGTCAAGATCAAATAGGAAATTTTTGGTAGGAAGGTAGAAGTTTTTTTTTTCTACATATTTTTTCGCAAACAAACAAAATGAATCATTACATGATTAATTTGTAAGATAATTCACAAGAAAAAATTCTCAAAAAAACATCTCGATGATTCATTTATACAATGATTTTGTTGTTATTCACTAAAATTGTAATAAAAGTGAATTGTTTCTTAATTTACTTAAAAATGAATCATAAAGATGTTTTTTTGGGAATTGTTTCTTGTGAATCATCTTACAAATGAATCATCTAGTGATTCATTTATTTTGTTCGTCAAAAAAATATATAGAAAAAAACTTCTTACCTTCCTACCAAAAATTTCCTTCTTATCGGATATATATATATATATATATATATATATATATATATATATATATATATATATATATAGAGAGAGAGAGAGAGAGAGAGAGAGAAAGAGAGAGAGAGAGAGAGAGGTCCAGGTGTTTAAAGTAATTATTGTGTTATTGTATGCATAAATGTGGGCCAATCAAAACTTAATAAAAAATTAAATAATTAAATAAATAAATAAGGGTAATTTAGTAATTTGTTTAGTAAATTCCAAAAATAATCCCTATAATCATGGTATTGACTAAATAAATAAGCGTGTCTTCCTCAATCTCCCACCAGATAAAGCCCTAGCATCCTAGAGGGTATCAGCGCTTTTCCTAGAGCTGCTCAAACTCAAAATCAATCATCTGAAACTTCATCGGGGGATAAAGACGAGTATTCAGCACTTAAAGCGGGATTAAGAAAAGTTAAGATCTTTAAGGAGTACGTCTCGATTAAAAGAGGCAAAAAAGCCTCCGGCAAGGATGATAATGAAATTAGCGAAAGCAGGAGTGACGAAGGTGACTATTCCAATTCCAATTCCAATCTTGTTGACTCGGAATCAGGCGATGATTCCGGAGACGGCGAATCGTTCGAGAATGCTACGTTCGGAAATCATTTAGCTATGGCATGTTGGCATATGCAAATTACGCCTGTGGATCTCTTTTCGAGGACAATCTTTATTACAGTAACCAGAAATCCGATGAGAGTGAGCGTTACTAACCGGAAAATGACCCGACCGCTTCGAGTTCTGAACAGAGTATAACTCAGATTCCGAAACGCAGCATCTTACCATGCAAGAAGAGGAAATTAAATTTCAAATCACCACCGAAGGGCGAACCGTTGTTAAAGAAAGATTATGATGAAGAAGGTGGAGATGATATTGACTTTGACCGGCGGCAACTCAGCTCCGATGAGTCTCTAGTTAACCTACCTCAGATAATTCTTCCGGCTTCTGAGTTTGGGGACGACAGTTTTGCAATCGGGAATTGGGAACATAGGGAGATAATCTTCGGCTTCGATGTGTTGACAGAATATTTTTTGGGACTTGCTTTCTGCATTCAGGTTTGAGTTTTTATCATTTTATTATTTTGTATCTCATTCAATGTATTTTTTGGGACTTGCTTTCTGCTTTCTGCATTCAATGTATTGCTGGAAGGGTATTTTTGTCCATGGGGTATTGCATATATGTTATTGTCTCTTAAAATATGTCACGGTTTGGTGTTGCTTTGTTCAATTATTTGAATTGCTAATTCTTCTTGGAAATTGTTAAATTGCTTAGGATGCTATACAGTTTTAGGGCTCAAATTGTTAAATCACTTATTAAAGAATATGAACTTTTTATTTTTTGTTGTTTACGCATTTATTTCATAAAATTCATGAATATGTGTTTGTTTTGTTACATATATGTTTCATAAAACTTGAATATGAACTGCAGTTTTACGAGGTGAAAGATCGAATGTGTCATAAATATAGAAGTAAGAACCAAGTTTACCCATCTCTAGTGGTGTTCTTTGGCAGGAAAACAGAATTGGGTATGTTTCTTTTGATTGGGTTTTACTAGTTAAATAGATAAAAAAATCAATTCTCTTGATGATCTTATTGTATACTTGTGAATTTTGATAGATATGGAGTACATTGTGATCTAAGGGAAAGAAAACATAAACGTGTGGTACAATTCTTGAGATTGACATGAAGAAAATAAAAGGAATCATGAATTCCAATTCTGTTGGAATGGAATCATGAATTCCAATTCTGTTGGAATCTAAACTACAATTTGGTTTTGTTTTCACAGATTTGATGCTTGAAGAACGGACCGCAAAATTGAAAGTGATTCTAAGCAACATTATTCTTTTAGAATGTAGTAATGTCGTTGTTAGATTTTGATGTTTTCTTTCCGGTTTTGAAATTTTTTTTAGTTTTATTCTTTAACAATAAATGTAATTCTTAACAATTGTTACCCGTATTCTATAAGAAATAATGTATTTTTTGTTTTTATTCTTCAATTAATTGTTCAAGAATTTGTTATTCTACGAGAAGTTTTTAAAGTCATGATCAATAAATAGGTTCAAGAATATTTTTATTATTTATGGTTCAAGAATATTTTTATTTTTGAATATACTCAAAAACACATTCTGTCAGAATGTCCGAATTAAAAGAATTATAATTCGTAAAATCGGATTTTTAAAATTAATAGAATCTATAATCCCTTAAAATATGCAATTTTCCTTTATTAAATCTATATTAATTGACTAAAATACCCTCGTAATTAAATTAGATGATATTTTTCAATTATATTTAATTCAATAATTTATATTAATCGCTTTCTTAAAATAAGTAAAATTGATTGGCCCACATTTATGCATACAATAACACAATAATTACTTTGAATAGAATAATCTAGGCCTATATATATATATATATATATATATATATATATATATATATATTTTTTAAATTTGAAACTATATAAATGTATTTTGTATATATATAAAAATCACATTTTTTTATATAAATACAGTTTTTATACTTAAAGCATAATGTTAAGTATAAACATGTAATATTCATATTATAATCATATTTTTAATAAATACCTAATTTTATTGTGAAATAAACATTCTACATATAAATATATAACTTTAATGTCTAAAATATGGTTTGAAAAACATCAAGTCACAAGAATATATGCAGTATTTTATAACCACCGTTTGACTTATACACATAATATGTAGTTCATAGCACCCTAAATTAAAATAATAAATGAAACATCTTATGCGTTTCTTACTAGGCATTTCTTAGAAATTATGTATCTACGGCGGTTGAAAAATGTAAATTTTTTTATGAATAAATGAATAAAGAATTATTCAAACATAATATATATATATATATATATATATATATATATATATATATATATATATATATATAGAGAGAGAGAGAGAGAAGGACATATATTATATGTATATAATATTTGTATGCAAGCTTATTTTAAAACTTAACAAATAGGGCTAAATAAACGTTCGAAAATAAATATTATTTATGATAAATAATTTAAACGAAAGTCATGTTAACTATGATTACGAACCCGTAGATATAAATAACACCAAATTCTGAGTTCGTATGAGGAAGTTTTGATATTTTGAAGTTTCGTGTTCAACGCGACACAACAATGTGTGTCATAAAAAGCGAAATGCAGATTAGATGCTTTTTAGCCAAAACAATATAAACCAGAGTTGATGTCCTCGAAAATATAAATCTGTCGATATAAAGAACGCTGAGAATTCAGCTCGTACGAAGAAGTTAAGCATTTCGCAAAGTCATTTACAGTGTAATATTCATAGACTGTAAATTAAAAATAGAATGCAAATTAGCCGTCGCGATCTAAAGAAAAGTTGTAGCACTCGTCGATACGAAACTGAGGATATAAAGAACGTCGAAAACGGAGCTCGTATGCGAAATATATGATTTTTTGAAGATTCGAGAATTTACCTCATATTAGCGATGTAACACCACCCAGAGCATGACACGTATCACGCCTAGAATCGGTCCTTGCCGCCTACGCAAAGGTGCGACGCGTCTAGGTCAGGGGCGCAACGCGCCCTCTCTCTAGCAGCCTATAAATAGATGTCGGGTTTTGCTGATTTCTCACACTCTTTCATTGCAAATTCTTTGGAAGTTCTCCCATACCCTGTGCCCCGATAGTTTTGAGCTTTTGACCCCTTTAGCGAGGCGCTACAACATCTAGGAGCCCAAAGGAAAGAAGTTTTCAGAGTCAAAGTTCTGCCCGCGACTTTCCTAACTTTGACATAAATTCTTGTAAGTTAAGCTGCACTTACTATATTTTAAGTGTAACTTATATTTATATTCATAGTCGTTATTTTGAACCTATAAATACGATTTATCAGTAATTCCATTTGTTATATTGATCGATCCACTTACGGAAGTTATGTCTAAGATAGATTTAGTGATGTGTTTAAAATGGATTTTCCAAATTGTATACTTTGTATACCAAACAGATCCTACCTCCGATATAATCTTACCCGGTAATTCCTTATTTGAAAGAACTCGATATTTATTTGGGATTATTGAGGAATCTAAAATACTGTTATTATAGTTTCGAAAAGTATAAAACGACGACTAAAACTTAATAATGTTTTTATATAGATTGTTTAAAAGGGAAAACTAAGGTGTTCGACGAGTAACTAACTTTCTCATCAATCATCCACCTTTAACAAGGGAGTGCATAGTTATTTTCGTCTTACACATAGATACGAAGTATTTAAATTCTTAAATGTTATGTGCACGATTTATGTGTATTTATAATTATATGTGTTAGATAAAGTACTAAAGTATTATGACATGATTTTGCTTGATTAATTGAAATGTTGGAATAAATAATTTATTTTACTACCATACTTCAATTATATTGGGTATTAAAGGGGTTGTAAAAGATAAAAAGTGGTGAGAGGCCATGAACAACATTGTACTATTGTACTACTAAGACTAGTCATCTAGTAGAGTATAGATGATGACCACTGACTATTCTAGACAGTCTTGTGGAACACTGGCAGATTCGCAATCTGTAGGTGTTAATGAATCATACTATCCGGGAGAAAGGATTGTGTGTTCATTCGAGTACTTTACCCCTATGGTTGCCTTTATTGGCATATATTGTTAAGGAATCCTAGAAGCAATATTGTCTACTCGTTGTTGTTTGGGTGTCAAACCAACAAATAAAAAGATATAATAATAACAATTAAATACAAATCACTGCTACTATATACTATGAGATACTATAGAGCAAGCAGGGTTGGTCCACAGAGATACGAGACTTAATGTTTAGGCATGTATTCATACATACACATAATCATTTGATAGAATAGGGGGGGGGGGGTTGTTTGTGAAATTTAATTTCAATAATAAACAACTTAAGAACTAAACAAGTTAAAAACTAGAATTTAGGATTTACAAGACATTTCCGATTCTGATTCCTTTTCGTGTACCATGTAGTGTAGTATGACTTCAATTCATGTTCACTCTAGGTTGGTAATCAAGATATTAATAAGCTCTAATATCCATGTTAACAAATTTATTTTACTCAAAACATGATCTTTAAGTAAAACTTCACTAAAGGGCTTCTAGTCCAGCGGTATTCGAAGTTGCCCTTCCTCCTTGAGGTCGAGGGTTCAAGTCGCACTGTGGACATAGGTGGAATAATTTAGGAGTAGTTTAGTATATATTTGTATTTGTCGTTCCAAAAGAAAAAGTAAAACTTCATCTAGTTGATTCAACACAAACAAGCTCTTGAATTAAATCACTAGAAGACTTTGAGTTCATGTAACAATTACCAACAATGTTCAATACTCTTCATATGCTCGGGAGTGTAAGAACATATAATATTTGATTACACTTATTTTGATCTACTTGAAACCAATGAAGTACTTGCTATCAACATCAAATCATAAAACATATACAAAATTTATAATTTGATTAACTAGAATAATAAGAACCCTAATTCCATTGATCAAGTGAAACTGAGTACAAACCAAACATTTTAATGAAGACCAAACCAAAGATTACTAGATAGAAAAATGAAATCAAGTGAAAATCACAATCTGAAAACCAAATACATAAGAATCTAGAACTGAAAATGACAAGGAAAATTAGCCACACATGACTAACTTAGAACATAAATCCAACAAGTTTGATCTTCAAACAAACTTACAAAATAAAAATCAAAGTGTTTCCAAAGTGCTAAGTAGTGAAATGATCTCCCAAAATCACCCTCTTGAAGTCTATGGTCGAAGTTGTCATGAAAATCCCCAGAAAACTCTCTTTAATCGAAAGTTGTAAATCATAAAACTGTCAGACCTCGTTACACGGCTCGTGTAACGTAAGCCTTGCCATTACACAACCGTGTAATGGTCCCGATGTGCTGAAAATCTTCCAAAGTGCGCCCACGTAACTTATGCCTTGCCAAAGCGCGAACCGTGTAATAAAATGCAAAATGTCCATTTTCCTATTTTCCAAATTCTTCAATTTAGCTCCGAAAATTCCGAAACTTCACCGAGAGCTTCCCTCGAACATCCTAAGGATGCTCCAATCTTCAAATCACCATGAAACATCCACAAAAATGGTGAAATGTAGATAGATCTTCAATAATGTCCGAAAATGCAAATGCATGTAAAATTACACTAAAATACAATGCAATGCTATAAATAAACAGTATATAAACATGTGAAAATGTGTAATTTATGCACCTAACAGTTGCTTACAGTGACCCATTAGGATAGGTCCTCTGCGATCATCATTTTAGGATCAGTTTATGAGAATAACAAGAATGAGTAATCGGGTTGATTATTTGGTGTGAAATATGTATTTCAAAGAATTAGTTATATTATCGTGGGTTGAAAATCATATGTACTCACTAGGCTCTCAAGCCTGACCTACTCAGTTTATTTGTATTACAAGAAGTTGTACGAAGGCAGGTGGACAGTGATTGTTATCTGTCGAGAGATTTAAAGAGATTATGTATGTTAGTATAATAAAGAGTTCTAAGGCATGTAATGACTAGTTTATGTTTATGTTTTTGTATCAGTTATAACATCCAATGTTTTTAATATTAATGAGAAAACATATCTTTGAAAAT